GTAAATTTTTATTAATACTTTATATATAAAATCTTTTCTTTTTATTAATATTTTGTATATAAAATCTTTTTTTTTTATTTGATTTGAGTTATTTCAATCTTAACGTTATATTAACTGAGTTAGTATTTTGTTCATGCAACTTTTAACGTAAATTAATTTTATAAGCTATTATCCTTAACTTAATTTTAAAAAATTAACTAACTCAACCCTGCTTTTATCGTTATTTTCTATGCAATAAATATGTATGCAACGTGCATAAACGAGATTCAAATAAAAAAAACCTATGTTTGAAATTGCCGCTATATGATTAGTATTGCTATATATATATTTGCTAGAAATGGCGACATCCGGCAATTGGCGTCACTCTCTTTATACTCACTCTAGTTTCTTTTCATCTCGGGTGTTACGTCACCTTGATTATATTTTTGAAAAGCGTGGCTAGCCGTCTGGCCGCTTTTCCCAATCAGGACATAAATCACATCATCTTTCGTTGCCCCATTTCCTCTCCTAGTGCTACTCACCTGGTTTCATTCTGCAATACCATCTCCGCTTATTCATCTCTCACTCCAAATGACATTTTCCCTCTCCTCAAAAAACCATCTCCCAAACTTTGTCGCCTGCTCCTTGCCTTTATTAAGTCCAATAACTTAATTATCTAAACATCCTTGCTCGGGCTTGTTCTTGTGTTCCCTTAGATATTTCGATTTAACGCGGGCTTTATTCCCCCACTTCAGGCTCAATACTCAGCGCGACACCTACGTTACTCGCCGCCATCTTACGGTGGCCATATTCGATACTGGCCGTATCGTCGCTATATGTGATCGAGGCCATTCATTTCAAGAAGAAGAAGGTCGGTATTCACAGTCGGTTCTTATTTCAAGACCGTCTTAAGTAATGTCTTAAGACGCCAATGCGCCCCTCTGATTGGCTTGTGATATCTTAAGACTGTACTTAAGACAGTCTTAAATATAAGAATCGACTATGAATACCGGCCGAAGTCTGGCCGCCTGACCGGCTTCAACTGTGCATTGCATCTCTATACTGATAGTCTCTTCATTCGTCTGGACGCGTGTCCATGCGGCGCGGAAGCGTCGTAGTCGCAGACACCCAGTGTTTGAGGGGACGTCTAGCCATTTCCATTCTTATTGCATCTTTTTTTATTCTACTTGCCCGGTTCGAGGTGGCCGGTGCATTGCATTCCGATTTTAAGACATTCGATTACTCATATTGACGTGATCTGGCCGTATCGTCCTCCTATTACCTACTTGGAGACGAGAGCCAATAAACAAAGAAGAAAAGTTTCGAAGCATTTGTAGCGAGACTTTGATCACAGTCTCAGAATCTTAAGAAAGTTAGAGGGGAGAAGAAGAACCGAAGAAGAATCTTAGAAAATGGCTTCGTGGAGTAGCGTACAGTCGGGCTTTAACGTCGATGATGAGACTATTAATTTTGGAACACGGATAATCGCAGAAAACAATTCTCTGTACGAGGCATGCACCGTGGCAACGATTCAATCGCTTGAAAAGGTTCGTGTTACATATTCTAACTTATCTAATATGACAGTTGCATGGTAACTTGGGATGTTTTTCATTAACGTTCGTGTAACGCTGTTTTTACACAATGTGATAAGTGACTGAAAACGAGAAAATAGGAACACTTCATTCAAGATACTTTGCTTAAAAGAAAGTTAGTCTCGAGAGATCGCTCGAACGAAGCGGAAGCAGACGTGTTTCGTCTCGGTTCGGGTCGGGTGTCGCATCACCCTTCATCTTCATTTGTCTGGACGCGCGTTCGTGCGGCGTGGAAGCGTCGTAGACCATAGACGCAGGCGTCCAGTGCCTGGATTGGCCTGGACTGGAAGCCGGTTCGTATTGCCATTTTCGATCGTGTTGTATCATACTTTCGAGAAGTTTGCCCGGTTTAAGGTGACCGGTAAAGTGTATATTTTTTTTACAAGTTTGTTTCCATTTTTTGACGTTCGTTCGAACATCAGTGGTTCAGTTTCAGCCAAATTCGGCTGCGAGGTCAATAAAAGAGAACGAAAAAGAAACTTAAAGGAAAACACAAAGCATGGCACAAATACTAACGTATAATTTTTTTAAAACAATATTAGTTTTTTTTATATTTAAATCCATATGAAATGCGCACGCGCTGAATTTGTATTATTAAAGCGCACATTTAAAAAATGACTTATTGTGATTTAGATTTATTATTTTATTACATTGTGTACATTATATATATTAATTATGATTATATCTATTGTAAATTATGATGATACATCATTAAAATCAATCAATATATGTCTTTTTAAGGTGGACCAACAACCAAATGTCATAGCATCTATTCAATATTCCAAGATTTGTGTAGCAATTGACAAGTCCATTACAATCTTTAAAGATGAAACATGCGATGAAATATTATGTAACATTAGCTTTCCCTCCATGATAGCCAGTTACTGCATTTCCAAGGACGGTTTCTTTTTATTTGTAATCACAACCAGGATTTTGTACTGTTTGCATTTATCAGATGGAAAAATAATTTTTACTAAGTAAATGTTATTTATCTTAATCTCTTTTATTTTTTAGTAAATATTTATATTTTCTGAAAAATTATTTGTAAACATATTAATATATTAATATAAATATAATTCTGATGTCTGCATAAATAACTTATGATTACAGAACTATACCTGATAATAAGGATAATATAGTAGAAATATTTTTAAAAGAGAAAAGTGAAGAAACATTTATAATTCTTGTCACAAACACTGGAGCTATTTACAGGTATCACATTTACAATCATACTTTCATTTTGTTATATTTTACTTATTAAATTTGTCTTTTATTTATGTATATATAACAAATTTAATATTTAGTATATCTGCTATACTATAAATATTTTAGATTCTCCAAATTTTATCCTGAAGCTTTAAAGATTGCATTTACCAGTGATGAAGTTACAAAATATATTGCAGATATTCAATGTTATCAATTATTCAAAGGATTTCCTTCGCAGGAGGTAATAAATAAATATATATATATATATTTTTAAAGAATTTATTAATATCTTTATAAATATTCAGTTCAAAGTATCATATAAATATCATATAAATATCATGGTTTTCATTTTCCACGTCAGTTTGTAAAGAATATGTTACAGTTTCTTAGCACTACAATAGATGTATCATCAGACGAACTATCAATAGCTGTAGTTGGAACAAATTCAATATTTACTTGGCCTAATGAACAATATATCAATTTCCAAAGTGTATTTTCTTTTGGATATAAAAAGATAAAACCGCTACATGGCAGCAAGTAATTAAATTTAAAAAAATGTTTTTAAATTATGTTAATATACATATATTAGTTGTGTACTTTTGAATTTATACATATCGTAAGTTACACAATACATAAAAATATTATCTTTTAGTAAAATGCTGTGTCTACGTACAGACAATATATTAAGTATGGTATGTCTGAATACATTTCTTACATTAAAAATATGTGATGGCCCAGTGTTTGATTATGATGTAATACAACATGATAATTATTCTGAAATTTTATTTTTATCAAATTCTAAGTACAATTATGCTACATATACATTGCGTATTATTTCTTATCCAGGTAAATGTATATTATTTCATTTGTAAAGAGTTCAGTTTTTATAAATTATTGAGATACTTTTTGTTCTTTTAGATTTTGAACAGAAGTTAGAAATCAACATATCTGCCAATACTCATTTATTTAAGATTTTACATGCTTCCGATAATTTATTTTATATAGAAGGTATTACTACTAACAATGAGACCGGTATTACCGACACGTTTAGAATAAAAACGATATTGGAAAGTATTCCCGAAATGCGTTTAGCTAGATTATTAAAGAAGAGACAATTTGATGCAGCTGAAGCTTTTGCAAGAAAATCAAATCTTTCAATGGAACCTATTTATTGTTCTAAAGCAGCATTAATCATAGAACAGCTTAGTCCGTGGGCAAAATCTACTCTTAATTCGGTCAACGTAGATACATTAATAAATATTCTAAATAAAATACAAAGTGTGCAATATGTGATTGAATGTTGCAGTAAAGCCCTCATTTCTGATTATACACAAATGAGACGTATATATTTATATGCTCGACAAAAAATAATGCAAAATATTAAGGTATTTATTATTTTGTATTGTTAATTGTTAATGTTTCTACATTCAATTTGTAATCTTTGCAGATAAAAAATATAGATGATTCGTTGAACACCAATCTATCTATAATAAACGATGCTTTATACAGACTTGAGACTTTCCACATGATTCAAGATATCGAAGTAGATACGCTATTAAATGATGACGCAAGTATGAAAGAATGGATACGATTTTCACAAGCAAATTTATTGGAAGAGTGTACTACTCGTTTAAATATGGTATCATATGATTATGACATATATTACAGTGTAAAACGTTACAAGAATTCCTATATTGTACTTTATAATGTTTAATATTTGTATAGGGTCAACTTAAATCTGCTACGTTAATTTGGACGAGACACCTTCCTGATTTTGTAGAACATATATCTATGCAAATTGTACAAAATATTTTTACAATTTTACCTGAAGATGTGGATCCGTTATGTTTGTGGCCTTGGCTTATTCATTTTATACCAACATTATTGTCCTTATTGCCTGATGCAATAAATGAGATTATCTCTTGGAGTTTAAAAAAATTGAAATATCTTGAGATATCTCACCATACGGTATGGCCAGAAATCGGCATAGAATTTGCTACAAAATTTATAAAATTGCTTAAATTCGAAGACAATCAATTGGTACACTTTCATCAAGAATACAGATATCAGAACTCTTTATTGAAACAGTTTATGGTCCTGTTTCAAGCTTTAGCCGATATTCAACAACTGAAGATTGTTCACAGGTCAGTAATATCGTAATTTTAAATTAGCTTATAAATTGATGTTACTTTTTCAAATTACACAACAGATTGAGAGTACCTCTTGACATATATATTGATTCACCTGTAGAAGCGATTTATATGTTGTTGGATAAGATACATCTTGACCAAATATTGAATTTTGCAAATACGTTCCTAAAGCAATATATATTTAATAATAATTTACAAAACGATACTGTTTTTTGTATGTATATTCAGGTTCGTATAATATTCTTATTCTTTGATTTTACAAAGACTTAAAGACGTAACATTGCTTATATATTAAATTTCTAATTAATAATTGCTCTATAAATGCGTAATATTGTAATATTTTGTACTTTTAGAAAACTATAAAAAATTCGTATAGTTGGTGGTTTAATGAAGAAGCTGCATGGGAGAAAAGAGTTACTATTATAATAAGCCTTATACACAATATAGAGGTGAATATTAGAGATACATACTATTCGCGACATTGTAACTTGTAAAATATCTTTTTATTTATTTAATACAACGTTTTATGTTACATAACAGAAACGACTGGAACAAACTCTAGTAGTTTTAAGAAAAGCTCCAGTGCCTTGGAGTTCAATTATAGCTACCTTAGCAGAAACAAGCATTAATTATGACCATAATTTATCTTTTAAAATTAAAACTGAACGCGATTACGTTCCAACAAAACTTATCTTAAAGAAATATGGATATGCGACAATTGGTGTAAATAATGTTGGTATAAGTTGTGGTATTATATTCTATAATGTTTTTATATGTTGGTACATTTAATAAATTACTTATATTTTAGAGATTGATGTCACGCATAATAAAAGAAAATTGCGATTCTATGATTAACGATGTAGATGTGCTAACTAAAGACGATCAACAATTAAGACAAGATGCGTTTTGTCGGTGCATAAACGTTCGATTAAATGAAAAGTATGTCGTGAAGAAAATGTATAATTTTCAAGTTTTAAAATGGGGAAAAAATGAATATGCGTATGTGTGTGCGCGCGCGCGTGTGTGTAAAGCATATATGTATAAAATATTTATCTAATCTACTGTAAACACATTTGTTTTAGGAATCTCCAGAAAGCAATGGATGTATTACATTATTTGGAAAATGATACTGCCAGTCTTTTATATTGTTGTGAAGGAATTATTCATTATATTAGTGCAGCTTTCTCTTTTCAAGTAATGACCTTTGATATAATATTAATTTAATAAAAATTGTGTTTTTTTTTTCTAAATTATAATCAATTATCTTTAATATTTGCTTTTAGAATGCAACGACATCCTTGATTTATCACATGGAAATATTGGGTTGTTTAGAGTTCAAAATATGTAACTTGTTAACGCAATCAAATGTTTGTCCTTATCGTTGCAACAACATTATCAAAATGATAAAAGATTTAAAATCATTGTACGCACTGAAGAAATATTATGAGATTGATATTTCTTTGAAAGATTATCATATGCAGAAATCATTTGTGTTGCAAAACTATATCTCGAAATCACTTTCAAGTAAAATTTCTAATTTAATTTTTATAACTAAATACAATATACACACTTGTTAAGAATTTAAAATTTATTTATGATAATTTGATAGATATTACGGAGAATGATTTGTCAGTAATGTACAAAACGGTTATTAAAATTGCCGAGTTGCTGGGATTAGAAAAGTCATATGCCACTTTATCCGTGTTAGAACAGATGAAAAACTTAACGAATTTATATGGACTAGAACATCTTGTTGAGTAAATATTATTTTACATATTTTACTCTTATAATTTTATACTTACAAGTAGATATAATATTACTTATTTCTTCTATGTCCTTATAGTGATGATAATGATTTAAATATAACGTCCAAAAGATTTAAGAATATACATAAGACATGCTTATCGATATTACAACATTCTGCTGTAGACACCAATGCTGTAAAAATTGTCAAAAGTTTAAGTATATCGATGTTAAATACTTGTCAAGACAGTATGTATCACAATTAGGTAAACCTTCGGATGAACTGCATATTCGAAATCATACAAACGACCACGTGTTTTTGATGTATTTTTGGCTCCTGAAAACGAATATGGCAGCAGAAATTGGCGCTCGGCCGTATCTTGGCCGCAATCTTGAAAAAACAGTTGAAAAACGACATTTTTTTAAGTTTCTTGCATTTATTTCGAAATAT